GAGAGAGAGAGAGAGAGAGAGAGAGAGAGAGAGAGAGAGAGAGAGACCATTAGTATTTAGCCGAACCGCAGGAGCTCCACGAGTTTTGTGCTCGTCTGATGCGTGCCGTGCAACACGTTTGGAGACGGAGCGCCGTTCGTGTGCTGGTAGAGGAACAGCATACATTTGGCCGTTTTCCTTTCTACGATATTTTTCGCAAGTGGCTCATTGTTGGTGGTCTTACTTATTCTCGCCCTCTTTCGCGATTCGCAGCCTCTGTTTGCCTCGGATGGTTTCGATGTTCTTGGCAATATTATCACTGACTATGTTGCCCGAGGTGCCGCACTTGAGACTAAACTACGCGCATCTTTCTTCTGTTCGGTTCGCCCATTTCTTCACCCTGTTGTATCGTCCACTTCCCCAAACTACGTGAGTTCTACTCTTTTCTGCCTTTCAACGTGGTCGAGCCATCTCTTCCTTGTTCTACCACTGAAATTTCCCCCTGCCTTTTTTCTAGCCTCAAGGTCCCTTGCTCAAAAGTTGAACTCCAACCTGTGCACAGCCGATCTTGGGACCATTGAGTGAGGCACGTTCTCAAAGGGTTGAGGGAAGGAAAAGGGCAACGTCGAGAAGGAAGGGGTTCCGCCATTCGTTGTTTGGCCGTTGACGTGCCTCCTAGGGTTGACACCGCCAAGGACGTACATACAGATTTCACTATTCGTCCCCTCTCCACCTCCATCCATACGCCGGGGCATACACAGGAAACCCCGGGCCCCGACCAGGGGTTTCGACCCCGTTCCCTTTTCTAGCAGACGGACAATTCTGGGCAGAGGGAAGAATCAAAGGCGTATCTTGCCTGGCGATGCAGTAGTCGACGCCACCCTTGAGCTTGAAATACCCCTCGCGGCTACGGGGTGCATCCCAGTCGAAGTAGACCTTTCGTGGGCGATGGGGAGGGGTGGCGCGCGTCAAGAGTCTGACCGTCCGTGTGTTTTTCCCTAGTATTTTTTTGTCGTTGGAGACTATTTAAAGTAGCTACGTTCTTTGTTTGCGGAAGGAGAGGCTCCACAGAGAAGACACGGACCGACCAAAACAAACGCAAGAGCTACCCACGGGCACGGAAGGACAACTTCTGAAGGGCAAAAATGCGGGCCGGAGATACAGGATTTATCAATTCATGTGGCACATTCCACCAGCCCGCCGCATGGTCAACATGCGCAGCAGAACCGCACACAACTTGAAACTCCCCGCTCGAACGCTGGCACACTTCGTGGTCGTTGTACCCGTTTATCAGGGGGCGAGGCTCTACACCCGCATCAACAAACTATCATCGTTTCAGTTGGCGCCGGCAACGCGAGTTAATAATATCAACATTACACGGGCACACCTGCTTGCCAAGAAGCCTAGCGCTCAGCGCCCTAGCCTCGGCGTTGCTCAGGCTGTAGGCTTTCGACTTCCACTCTTGCAGCCGCTGATCGCGCCCTTGCAGCCCGCGCATGGAGTGGATGGCAGCTTCTACGGCCTTTATTTTGGTCGAGAAAAACGGGCGGCAAGAAAACAGGAACGAACACACACACATATCATCCTTGACCCTAGTTTGCAGTCGTGACGCGGTTCACGTGGTTTGGGAATAAATCCAGGAACTAGCAAGCGCACGAACGCCGCGAAAGAATATGCTGCAAGCCCTGTGTCGAGTAATAACTGGTAATACATTAACCCTCAATCCCGTGCTTCATCACGCAGCATGCATAAGGCTCTCAATACACACACCTCGGGAAAGCGCATGAGACCGGCCTTCTCGCCCCAGTCCTTGCTGAGCTTGTCGATAGCTTCGAACGACGCGCCTCCGGCGCGTGCTTCGCGGACCAGGTCGTTCAAAGGCCTGGGGGGTGCAGTGAGTGTAAAAAGGGGGGTGGGTATGGTTGTGACGTACAATGGTACACAAGGCACACAACCGTCGGAATATAGATTGTGTCGGTTGTTTCAGAGTAGAGAGGCGCGCGCTTGGGCAAAAGGCGAGCTTACGCAACATTACAACTGGCTCCTACCAACAATAACGCATCACATAATTAGTATATTTCACAGATAGTTTTGTCACCGAACTGCAAGTGATTTCGTTGTACCCCGGGTACAAGTATGGTATGACTGTGGGTGAGAGAGGGAGCCAGCGGCTGCGTATGCGTGGTGATGCAACCCCTCGCCTGGTGCCTGGGACAGTAGCTCCCATGATGAAGGGGTGGTCGCGTGGATCAACGTTGTTGTCCAGCAAGGACGCGGCTTCGGCGTCCGTGCGGGCCACGATGACAGTCTGAGGTAACACACAACATGCACATCACACCAGATCACATTACATCAACATGCAAGCCACGATAATAGTCAGAGAACACACATACATGCACATTGCAGCAACGAGTTGAAAAAAACGAAATAACTGCTGAGCAGAGACCGGAACGTTATTTTAGGTGAAGACAACAAGAGCAACAACAACAAAGTATATTCCGGGGGTGGGGGGGCTCGGCAGATGCGACATAGTATAGGTAAAATATCAATAGGACATGCGCGACGAAGTTTGTGCACCGAGTGGTAAGGAGGCGTCAATAGGGTGTTGTTCTGTTTTTTTATCGTTCTGCTTCAGGGTAGTTCCGGAGTAGTTCTGTATCTATGTACGGTCTCTGCATCATCACCATATTTATTCTCCGTGTTCAATGCTAGCTGTCCCAGCAATTGCAGCTGTCGTGCTCAAGGCCACCACGATTGCCAAGCCTCGGACAAACGCATAACATTGGCTCCGTAGGATGAACACAGCCTTCAGAACGCTTTTAACTTACGAATGGCAAGTTGTGGTGATAGTAGTAGTGAGGGTCGAAGCTCCTCTTTTCTTCGGTGCCCTTTCGAAGAACTCTCTCACCTCGGTTCCCATGATGTCGGCCTGAAGCCTAGCCGCCACCAGGCGGTCACAGTGCTCTTGCATGGACACGAGCACCTTACCTCCCATGTGCCCACACTTCTTCGTCCCGGGCTGTTCGTGAGGTACAGTAGCCCAGCCAATCAGATGCCATCGTTGTATTGTAGTACGCAAACAGAAAAAACAAAAACGAACGAGGCGAGAGCACAAAAAAAGATATTTCGATCAAATTCATACCCGGATGAACCGAAAAGGTGGGACAGCTATCTATACTATACTATGCTAGTTGTTGCCCCTTGGGTATCTTGTCACAGAGATTCATTGAGGCTTTGGTGTGTACTCGGGTTACCAGAAGTGCAAGTTGAGGCGGAGCGCGCCTTCTCACCACTACCGACAGGGTGCTCAGTCGGTCGACATGCGCAGCGGAGGTGTTCCAGTCCAGCACGTACCGAGGTCTTGATAAATTCCTGAACCAACATAGCCTGTGAAGCGCTCAAATTCTTTATCATCTACACGGCCGCTCGGCTGACGTACAAAGCCTTACCAAGGATGACTCCTGTCACAAGAAGGGGGATTATCTCTTCATGGCGGCTACTCTTCCCAATCACTACAAGTTTCACAAACATCCCAAAATAACACACGGTAGTTGCCGATGTATCACGGAAGCGCCCCGAACCCGCAGATCCTACAGTTCGCCACGTCACCCAAATGGAAATAAAACGCCCTGACAACGTCCAGCCGAAACCACGCCTACCTCACGTGTGTGCCACAAACCATCTTCCCCGTTCCAAACCGAACCAATCACACGACAGCATAAGCTCACCCCACAGCACTTACCTTCTGATCCTCGAAGTGGATGCCGGCGGCACCCTTCTCGATGAACATTTTGGTCAGCTTCATGACGGCCGTGAGACCACCGTGCCCGGTGTCCCCGTCCGCGATGATCGGGCGGAGATAGTCCACGGCGGGTGCAGACAATCGCTCGCCCTCGCTCATGGAGCAGCGTTCCTGATGGCGTTGAATTCTAGGTGTTATGTAGTGCACATGACGTGTGTGACCATCACTCCGCAAACAAGGCGCGATCAAGCTGTTGTGAGAGCGGGGTGAACAGATAAGCAACAGAAGACTTTCGGGTGATGAGGGCCACAACGTTGATGGTGACGTCGCTCGCTCACGTCTTCGATTATCTCGGGGTCGGGCTGGTGTCGCCAGACTATGGTACTAGACAAGAGGTCCACACAGACTACCCGGAACCAGCGAAAAGGCCTATAATAAGACCCCGAAAGCCATGGGTGGGTGGGCATTACCAACGTGTTTGACCGCTCTGAAAAGCGGACAAAGCACTACAGGCCTATCTGCCAGGCCGCACGCTCCGCGTCTTCGGTGCGGGGTGTCGAGATTGGCCTACACCGCTCTAGATTACGCGGTCACCCTCGGACGCCAAAGTGCGACATTTCGTGGAGACCTTGAGGGTCCCGAAAAATCGATTGTAGTTATGCCTGGAGTAACGACTTGGCTCTATCGATGCCAAGCATGCAGTAGAAGTACTACTCGAAGCACTGCCGAGGGAGGTGGAGGAACGAGGGCCCCTCGAACATTATCCCCACCCCTCCCGCTCGACGCCTCCAAGGAAAGGTGACTCACGTCATTCTGGCGCCTGTCGTGGTGCCTCTGCGCTCTGAAGAGCTGGTCGACTTTGTTGGGCACCGTATCGTAGGGGTAGTCGGCGAAATCTGGACCGGGCTCGTTGCTGGTGCAGGGAGTTTGCAAAAAATTAAAAGACAGGGCAAGGAAAGCGGTGTGATGCTTCGGCCAAACGTCGTCGAGTCTCCCAACGATAATACTCGCCAGCGGGAACGAGCTGATGAAATATTTACATAATTGTGCAAGTTTTCGTAAGGGGACCGAGGGGGGGGGGGGGGGAGCGTACTCTTATGTTTTGCATGTCTTAGCGGTTAGACCATTGACCACGCGTCCTCGAGTGGACGGAGCATTGTTCTCACAGGACCGATCACCGATGGCCAATCGTTCCTTTCTACTTTGCCAAAGGTGGCTCAAAAATGTCTTCCCTAGTCTGTCTATCCTAACGATATCCCTTCCCGCCTTTTCAACCCACCTCCTATGCCCCA